GGCACGCGGCGGGCCTTGCCTTGCCCAGCAACGGGGGGGAGGCGGGAGACGGCGGGACTGGGAGACGCCTTGCCTTGCCCAGCCCCCCCCGCGCGGAGCCGGGGCACGTGGCGGCGGGGGGTGGGGCGGGGCGGCCGAGAGACGGCGGGACGGGCGCCCCGTTCCACCCCAGACCCCACCACCCCTCCCGATCAGCCGCCCTGGCCCGGGGACGGAAAGACCCCGGAGGGAGGTACGGAGACACCCGTCATCATCAAACCCAACACCACCATCAGCAGCATAACCACCATCAGCAGCATAACCACCATCAGCACCACCACCACCACCATAAGAATCATCATCCTCATCCTCATCATCATCCTCAACCTCATCATCCTCATCCTCACCCTCGTCCTCATCCACATCATCATCATCATCATCATCATCATCATCATCATCATCATCATCATCATCATCATCATCATCATCATCATCATCATCATCATCATCACCGTCATCATCATCATCATCATCATCATCATCATCATCATCATCATCATCATCGTCGTCGTCGTCGTCGTCGTCGTCATCATCATCATCATCATCATCATCATCATCATCATCATCATCATCATCAGCATTATCATCATAAACAACATCATCATCATGATCAGCATCAGCATCATCATCATCAGCATCATCATCACCATAATCATCAGCAGCATCATCAGCATCAGCATCAGCATCATCATCATCAGCAACAGCATCCTCATCATCAGCATCATCATCGTCGTCGTCATCATCCTCATCATCAACAGCAGCAGCAACAGTACCATCAATATGATCATCAACCCCTATCGTTATCATGGTGGTCATCATCCTCAATATCATCAACCTCATCGTCATCATCATCAACATCATCAGCATCCTAACCGCCATCATCATAAGTATCATCATCAGAGGAAGCTTATTCTTCATCACCATCATCAGAAGAAACATCATCAACATCATCACCATCACCCATCATCATCACCATCAACATCATCACCATCGCCATCATCATCACCATCAACACCATCAGCAATGCCGTGATCCTCCTCATCATCATCATCATCCTCCTCATCGTCATCATCATCCTCCTTCTCCTCCTCATCATCAGCATCAGCATCAGCATCATCATCATCATCATCACCCCAACCTCCGCCTCTTTCCCTCTGCCGCCCCCTTCTCATCATCATGGATATCATCATCAACTGCCTGCCTGCCTGAGCCCCCACGCTCCCAATGCTCGAGGTACGGCAGGGAGCTGGCACCCGCGACGAAGTGATGACCTCACGCGGCGAGGCGGAACGAGGCCCTCGAGCACTGCTCTGCGAGTGCGCAGGGTTCAGAGGGGCGGAAAGGGGGAAGACGAGGGAGACACGAGGAACGTGAGGGGGGCGGACCGCCTCAGGGGGGGGCGGGGGGGGGGGGGGGGAACATCGACCTGAACTCGGTGAGACGTCGCCGACAGATCGGCGATGGGCCCCCGATGGGCAATCCGCATGTTCCTGGGCGGGGCGGGCCATCGGGCCCTATCGAGTGGGGGTCGATGCGTTCCCCTCTGAGCCAATCCCCCTCTAAAAGTACCCCCGAAGGGGGAAGGAGAAGGGAGGGAAGGTGTAGCCGCCGTGCGTCTGGGGAGGACGCGAGGCCTGAATGGGCTCTAGAAATGACAGGGCCGTTTTTGTTTACCAATTGCGTCTTGCCGATTTTGTTGCCAGTTCCAGCGCAATTTGTGTTCCCCGTTCCGTCGCCGTTGTTTCAGCGGGTTCCGGCTCCTGTTCCATACCCGCATCCATGTTCTTGCCGTTTCTGGTGATAGTTCTCTTGCCGTTGCCGCGCTCCAGAAACATTTCTGCGAAAACGGTTCAGGAACGCCCTGCCATTTCCGGGGCTGACTAAGCGCGAGGCATATACGTGCAACTGCCCTTGAGCGCTGATGTCTCCTATATACTCACCAGAGCGCCAACTTTCTGCCGCTGAAGCTCGAATTCCGAGCGAGAGAGGTCTTGAGCAGGCCGCCAACGAAATGGCGGACACCTGCACGGGGCGGCCCGCGACAGTTGGATCCGCTGCACCGTGGGCTCCGTTGAGCAGGGCACGTGAGCTGAAGCGAAGAGGGGATGAGAAGGGAGATGCGGTGAGCCGCGAGCGGCGAACATACCTGTATCCGCACCCTCGCGGTCTGGGATTCCGAGGCGCGATCCCGCGGACACGCGGTCGCAGGGACACGCTCCGCGCAGGGCCTCCGCGGCAAAGGCTCCCCGTAGCCGCAAGGTCGCGGACCAGCGGCCCGGCCGGGCCGCCGATGCGGATGTGTCCTACGCCACCGAGAAAATGGAACGGGGGAGGTAGTGAGGAGGGGGGGGCAGAAGCTGGAAACGCAGGAAGAATGATTTCCCCTGCTCCCCGGAACTCCCGATGCTGCACGGTGCAGACAGAGGACGGAGGCAACCAGATCCGGTCGGACCGTGATGTTGGGCCCGCTCGAGATGTGATGTATGCGACACACTGGGGGGAATCTTACCAGGACCCCGAAAGCTGGGGTAACTGACCAACGGAGACATCGACATCCCCAACAAAAAAGACATTGCAGCCCAGGTCGAACCCTGTTCCATCATCATCCTCCCGCTCAGGACCTGACGACGTCCGTCCTCTATTGTGGTCTCCCTGCTTACGAAGGCCTCTTACTGAACTAAAGCGATTCGACGCGCGATTCTGGAGAGCCCCCTGCAAGGTCACCAGGCGTGTGGGAACGCTTTGCAAGGACACATCCTTCATGCAGAGACACACCTGGAATCAACGAGTTCTGAAAGCCTCACAACGCAACACACGTTATGTCAAGCACATGTGAGCAATCCTGACTCACACCCGTTCGCGCTGTGAGACTTCATTGAAAACAACTCGATTATCCGATCTAGCCGCACGCCAAAACAAAACTGCAACCATCAAATCACGTCCGGTCATGTCTGCGCGTTACGCCATTGATCTGTAACCAACAGCTGGAGACAAAGAACACGAGGACCATGAAAACGATGACGATAACTAAGACTGAACGCGGAAACCTCGGTGTAGATCTTGGTCATCGTCCACATTGGTAATCGTCAATTCGTGGACCAACCTCGCGAACCGGCATGGGCCATGAGCAAGGCCAGAGTCGACCAGATATCACGACATCTTGGCCATCATGGTCATCGTGTTTCTTCTCTCGAAAAGCTGCCATTGAAACGGCAGATGCCCGCGACCAGCGGTGCGACAAGCAGTCAGGCCTAGCTCTACAAGCCGCTCGCTCCCACGCACCCTGGCGCCTGAGCGCGCTCCGCGAGCAGGCCACCTGGGCGCAGGATGGAGGCGGAGGGGGAAGGAGGGAGAAGGGGAAGAAGGAGGACGGGGGAGGGAGGGGAGAGGAGGGAGGGAGGGGAAAAGCTAGCTGCGCTCGCGCCATAGTTGCCATCCGATCCCTCCCATCCCTTCCCATTGCGCTGTCTTTTCTCGATCCGCGGACACGTGTCATAGCCGACCTGGAATGCATAACAGAAACATCGTGGTATGCGCAATCGGAGGAGCAACATGGGAGGAGGCGACACGACGAGGTGGCGGGTAAGCAGGATGATGAGCATAAGGAAAAAAAGAGGAGGAGTGAGGAGGACGAGGACGAATAGCAGCAGCAGGAACTGGAGTGGAAGGAGTGAGTGGAGCAGGAGGACCAGGAGAAGGCGCAGAAGGGGAAATGAGGGGGGGGGTGAACGACGAAAGCACAACGCCAATCCGAAAATGTGGCTCACGCTGCAGCGGGATAAAAACAAGTCGGACAAACAAAAACTCGGCACAATCCTGTTAGTGAAAAGCAATACGCCGAAGGGGGGCCGCGTTCTTCCAGACAGGGTCAGGGGAGAGATGACAGTATTCGTAGCGTGTGATTGTGGAAAGCATCGAGGTCCGACCATCGAGATCTGTTTCATCTTGTCCCTCCAGAGACCTTTCGGGGGGGGGCCTCAAGAGGCCTCCAGAGGCATGGAGACCTCTGGGAACCTGTGGAGACCTCTGGTAGAAGGGGGAGGGGGAGGGGGAGGGAGGACCAGTGTAAGCACAAGAGCCATCAACGATGTTGGAATAAACCCTCCCTCCAAGCTCCCCCTTCACAGGCCCCTACAAGGGTTCAGTTCCACTGGGGGAACTGCCTCGTTGGAAGACAACCGTTTGAAGACCCTGAAGCATGCCAAAACATCGCTCTCGGGATTCCAACGCCACGGATCAACCTGACTGTTGCGTCATGATGGTCCTGAATTGTGCCACAACGCCACTCCCGGGACTTCAACACCGCGAATCAACGCAACTGCTGCACCCTCATAATCTTGAGTACTTCCAAAGTACCATGGCTGGTACGCTGATCATGGGAATCCGTGAAATTCTGGCACAACTAACAAAACACATGTGCGCGGCGCTCAGGCGAGAACCACAAGTTTAAAGGAACCACCCTCAATATGTGAAACTCTTGCTCTAAAACGAATGTAAGCGGCGCAAAGGCGAGAGCCACATTTGAAAACCAGTCGCCCTCAATCCGTGAAATGCTTGCAGATGTTTAAAAACAATGTGCGCGGCACGAAGGCGAGAGCAACATTTTGAAAGCAAGTCGCCTTCAATCTGTGAAACTCGTGCAACTTCCTAAAAATGAAAGCGCGCGGCGCCGAGGCGAGAACCACATTTTGAAAACGGCTCGCCCTCCATCTGTGAAACTGTTGTCATGTTCTAAGCTTCAAGCTTATACATGGTGAGGAAGTCTCAGGCGACATGCCCATCCCGCCCTAACAACTGGCCTCAGGTGCGACAGGGAGGAAATATGTATAAGGAAAAGGAACGGAGAGGGGAGTCCCTGAGGAAGGGGATGAATCGGAGGAGGAGAGGGAGGAGGAGGACGAGGTGGGACTGGGGCAGCGGGAGGGGTGTCGGCCACCCGGCGGCCCTTGAGGCCGAAGGGGTCAGAATATCTGTACACAATGGTCGCTCGCCACGTACACGGCCCCGCACTTGTCAATCTGGATCGCCGTGGGCGAGCGGAAGTAGCACAGCGCCCCAGGACCGTCTGAGCTCCAGAGCCTCAGCGCCAACCATTGGCGGCGCGCAGAAGAGGGTAGAGGGAGGGGGAAAGGCTTCTTAGAAGGAGCCTGCTTCTGAGAAGGCGCCAGCCTTACGCCTATGGACAAGGCCCGCACCTTCTAAGAAGCAGCTTCCTTCTGAGGAGCCGCTCCACCTCCCTCTGCCCCCCTCTGAGCGGAGCCGAAACAAAACAAAAAATAAACACTCTCGGGGAGACGTAAGACTCGGGTTCGGGTCACTTGGGGTGGCCTGACAGGGCCATCATGACAATGATGAGGCCCAATTCGAAGTTTGACGCGAGCTCCCGCTGCAGACATCCCACGAAAACTGGACCGTCAAAACCCAGGGCGGGCTCGTCAACGAGCGTCGGCAAACCCGAGTTCTGACACACTCGAGTCTTACGTTCTCCCGATACTCCACAGACACGTGGGCGCGGGCGTGAACTCTCGTCGTCGGCGTTTTGCTCGGAGGGACGACGGTGAGGCGAACGAGCGTCTGGGGCCCCCTTCGGAGCCCCGCGCGCGGCCGATGGCCAGCCTTCCCCCGCGAAGGGCCGCCCGCGCCATGGCCCCCAGAAAGTAAGGAATCCGCCGAACGTTCGGCCAGCTGCCCGCGTGAGAAATCGGAGGTCGGCGCATATTTCTTGGGGGTCGGCGCCGGGATCCTCTCCTCCTCCCCCTCCTCCTCCTCCTCCTCCTCCTCCTCCTCCTCCTCCTTCTCCTCATCCTCCTCCTCCTCCTCCTCCTCGTCCCCCTCCTCCTCCTCCCTCCCCTCCCTCCCTCCCTCCCCCTCTCCCTCCTCCTCCTCCTCCTCCTCCTCCCCTCCTCCTCCTCCCCCTCCTCCGGGGGGCCGAGGCGCCGCAAGAGCGGGGGCGGCCCGCCGCCGACGCGAGGAGAGCCGCGCGCAGCGGCCTCCGAGAAGCCTCTCTGCGGGCGCGTCGGCAAGTCGCGCTGAGGGGGGGGGGGGGGGGGCAGCCAGCCTTCCGATCGCACAGGCTCGTCTCCTATCGGCCGGCTATGGGCCACCTGGCGGCGTTCAGCCTCGGACGCCCGCGACGGGGCTTTGACGCCGCGTCGGCACGGCGCGAGCACGCCGTCGGGGCAGAGGTGGGGTCAGATGGAAATCGCTCTCGACGGAGGAGGAGGAGGAGGAGGAGGAGGAGGAGGAGGAGGAGGAGGGAGGACCCATGGAAGTCTCTGTTTGGGATCTCTGGGCTCACCTAGGGAGCATCTCTCTCATCCTTCCGTACTCATCTAGGCTCCACCACATCCCCCTCGCTCTGATCGACACCATCACTACAACCAGCACCGTCAGCACAGCGTCATCACATCACCCTGGGCGCCCTCAAAGCCCACAGGGAACAAACTGCAGTCAGGGGGGTCGGCGGATGTGGGTGCAAGCCTGTAGAATCGCTCTCAACGGCCCTTGAAAGAAGGACATGTGAGCATCTGGCTGCGTTCGCTCTCTGACCCCACACTGGAAAAACATCCCTTACACGAGCCCACAAAAGAACCACTTGCCCTCCCGGGTGAAGATCTGCACCCGGTTGGAGCCGCAGTCGCACACGTACAGGCGGTCCAGGTTGTCGGTGCACATGCCCATGGGCCCGCGGAGGTGGCCGGGCGGTGCCGACTTCGAGCGCGTGGACTGCGGGCTCCAGTCGGTCGGTATGATGTGGGCGAAGTTGTTGCACTGGTCGAAGACTTGCACCTTAACTGGTCGACCATGGGCCCCTTGTGATCCACTGGCCTTCGGCGGTGCTCGGCGTTCACTTGCCAGTCGTGTGGCGAAAATGGGCAGCCGTTTAGTGGAATTCGCAAGCCGCTGGCGGCATTAAGCGATCTTCCGCAGCCGGATGGCCAAGTTTGGCAAGGGGTCCGTGATTGAACACCGAATTGCACCCTGTGGTTGTCCTTGTCGCTGATGGCGATGGAGCCGTCGCTGAAGGTGGCAACGCAGTCGGGATATTCAAACTGCCCAGGCCCTGCGCCGCGGCCCCCGATCTCGCATAGGATCTTCCCGTCGCTGGCCAGGATCAGGCAGCGATGGTTGCAGCTGTCTGCAACCACGATGCGCCCCTGGGTGCAGCCGACCCCGAAGGGCCCGTACAGCTGCGTGTCTCCCAGCACGTACGCCTTCTTGACCTCGAGCGAATCCTCTGACAGCTCCACCGACAATCCGCTGGCCTCCCCGATGGCTTACCAAGCTGCGCGGCTGAGGCTTCTTGGCAACTTAGCAACGCACCTCTAAGCAACTCAGCTGCATCCTTCTCGACTAGAAGCTTTACAATAAGAACTTGCTGGGCGAGTCTGGCGGGCTGGACTGGTTGGAAAGGCCCATGATCGGCCAGGCTGGCCCGGCCTGCTGGGTGGGCCACGGCTGGCCGTGCTGGCTGGGCTGCCTGGACCGGGCACGGTGCAGAGAGGGCGCCAGAGAGCCTCGCGAGGTCACGAGGCGGCTCCGGCAACGACGCTGAGAGCGCGACGTGCGACGAGAGCCACTGGTTGCGCGCGGAGTGAGCTTCCTGTCAACAACGCCCGCAACGCGATGATCGCGGGCCGCAGGCGGGGTCCCCGCAGCGGGGTCGCACAGAGTGAGCGCCCTGCCAACAGAGCTCTCGGGGTGAGCTTCCTGCCAGCAGCGCTGGCAACGCGATGTCCACACGAAGCGAACGGGCGCGCCCACGCGGCTCACGAGAGGCCCACGGGAGGCACACCAGCCCAGGGAGCTCAAGCTAGGGAGCTGCCAACGCAGAAACGAGACTCCTCTACATGCTTCATTCCATAAGCCCTGGATCCAGACAAGAGTACCGCATTCCGCCAACGAAGACATGCCCACTCCTTTGATTCTCGAAAGCGACGCCCTGTCTGGAACCCACCACATAGGTAAGCCTAGGCAGAGACTTCCCGCTTTGTCGCGGCGGTGCCTCGCAGCCAGCGTCATCGATAATCTGTCGAGGCCGTACTCTACCACCGTCAGCTTCCGGTCTCCGGTGCAGCACAACCCGCTCGGGTCCTGGAGCGTGCCGACCTCGCTGCCATGGATAGGGGAAGAAAAAACGGTATATACATAACCTTCGGAGCTCCGCGCGGATTTCATGGGTTGGCGCTGACCCCCCTCCCCGCCGCGCGGAGCGCGCCAGGAGCCGCGCTGGAGGCACCGCCGGGGGGGGGGGGCCTGGCGCCGATCCAAGACATCTGGGCGGAGCTCCGAGCGTTTATGCTTATGCCGCTGCATCTTCCTCGAATGGGGCAGGCTCACCAGGCCGAGCAGCTCGTACGTGCCGCGGCGAAACACCTGGATGCGGTGGTTCAGCGTGTCTGCAACGTAGATGTCCGGGCAGTGCCGCGAGTGGCCACCACCAGGGGGTGTCGCCAATTCCCCGAGGCAACGCCTTTCCCGAACTCTCCAAACGTCCAAAAACATCCTCTGGCTTCTATCCTGAAACATCGATCGATCAGGAAGAACTGTTGTCTCCCGGGAGCCTCCCATACCCTCTTGTTGGCTCTTGCGGATCGACGCGCGCCGACGCTAATCGAGGCTAAAGCGACGCTGGTCGACGCCAAATCGGCGCTGTCTCATTGATGGCCAAACGCTGATCGACGCCAGCGCACTCTAAAGACGGAAATGCAAGAATGTGCAGGGCTCCCATGACTCACTACCGGACCCCTCCAAGGTGGTGACCACCCCGGCACTGCCCGAGATGTGCTCGGAGTCGAAAGACATGCCGCAGGGAGACCGGAAGTTGCCCAGGCCGGTCCCCTCGCTGCCGAGGAGCGCACGCCGCGGCCCCAGGCCGAAGTGGGCCAGCTCCTCCGCGAGGCCTCTCAAACGTGAGCGGGGACCGACCACCCCGGCATTCCTGTAGGCCTACGGCGGGTTCGTGTCGCGACGACTTTTGTGCTGCATGCTGGCGCCGCGCGGATCAGCACGGATCGCTCGATAGCGGCCGATTCTGGACCACAGGCGGCGTTCAACCTTGAACGCCCGCGCTGGGGTCGACGCCACGTCCACACGGCACGAACGCCTGCCGTACCACGACATGTTATCAAAACCAAAAATATCGGGTCACTGAAACATGTTCTTAGAACACGGGCCCGATGTAATTAACCAATATTGTCTCAGCTTGAAGCCACTGCTTCACAAATGGGGTCCAAGTAAGATGAGGTCGGGGGATCGCGCCGCACCGCCAATGCATCGGCAATGCATTGGCCACATCCTGCATGCATCGGCGACGTCGGCGTGGAGAAAATCGGGCTCCGCATCGATCTGCATCGCCGGTGCATCGGCAAAGCGGCGCGACCCTCCGACCCCATCTGCTCGGACCCCACCTGGGAGGCCCCGAGCACCGTCGTTGCAACTGCCTCACAACGTGGACCCAAAGGGTCTGGACCCCGCGATCTTTTCCTTGAACGCCCGAAATGGGCACGGAGAAGACGGGTACGATGCCCAACAACAAATGTTGTCCAACACCGACAGCGGCCGCTGTCGGGCAGGCGGCTCTGTGTCTTCGAAGAACAGCGCCCGCAGCGGCACGGATAGCACATCCTGTTCCAAGTGAATAACAACTGCTGTTGGGCATCCTACTCATTCTTTCCGTACGTACCCCTTTCGATCGTCCCGATTCTTACGATGCGAGGTGGCGGGAGAGGCCGCGCTCCTCGTCGCTCCGCCCGTGCACGCCGGGCATCGGCTCCCTCGCGCGCGCCGACGGCGGCGGCGAGGGCGGCGCCTGCGGCGGGCCCTGCTGCAGGACTGGGGCGAGAGGCTGTTCGCCGCCGCAGCCCGCGGCATGCGCCTGCTTGTCGAGGTCGCCGTCCGCGCCGACGGCGGCGTGCAGGGAGACGCGCCGGGAGGCAACGTCTGAGAGGTCATCGTAGGAAAGATCAAGTACAACCGAGCAGATGACCAAGAAAATAACCAGTTAGGAACTGAACCAGCTATCCGAAAATTTCTTCGCAAAAGCCTGGACAAACTTTTCCACGCTGGAGGGACAAACACGCCCAAGAAACTGGGCCAGCTTTCCGGCAAATTCGTTGAGGAGCGCTGGCCCAACTGTTACGGAGGAGGTTTCTGAATCAGATGCTCGAATTCAGCTGAAGGGGAAGAAAGCGGCAGAGAAACAAACGTGCGGAGGTCCGCGCGAATTTGCGGATTTGCGCTGGACCCCCTCCCTGCGCCGGCGAGGGCGGCCAGCGCGGATCCAAGAACTCCGCGCGGACCGTCGATAGTTTACACTAATGCAGTTTATCGTCTTCGATTCAGGGCTGGCAAGCCAGACTGAGGGGGCATTGAGCCAGATCGGGCCAGAGTAAGACCAAGATGCCGCCCGATTGGGCCCCCCATCTCTGTGGGAAGTGTGCCGCACTCTCGCAGCGACAGGACACAGCCCGGATTATGCCACATTAGGCCGGTCTTCGACTAAGGATGCTTGAGGCCTCCCAAATCTGGTCCGAGTAGATGGGGTCGGAGGCTCGCGCCGCATAGCTGACGCATCGGCGATGCATCGGCGGCGTCGGCATGGAGAAACTAATTAGGGTTCCGCATCGAGCCGCATCCCCGAGGCATCGGCGATGCGGCGCGATCCTCGAACCCCCATCTACTCGGACCCCATCTTGAAGGCCTAAAGCGTAGAGATATGCCAGCACCGATGTTTCAGCCGTTTAGTGACGGACCGCGAGGTGACCCCCGAAGCCGCAAGAGACCTCACAGCGCGGTCCGTCACAGCGGCCACGATTCCAGCCACGCTGGGCGCCCAAACGTCGCCGCTGGGCGCCCCGAGTTGGGCCCTCAGGCCCCTTCTCCAGGTACGCCTGATCTGGGGTACGTTCAGCCTCCCCTGGTGACTCTGACCTCCCAGAAAGCAGAGCGAAGCGAAGCCTGCCATCGCCCGTCAGAAGCCAGCGGCCCGTCTGGGTGGCAGGCGCACCGTCGCAAAGTGCGCGGGCCCACGGAAAGGACCAGAGGTCAGCTCAGAAGCCCGTGCGCATCACGTCGTTCGTGCGCGCCCCACACGTCCAGACTTACAGCTGTTTGGAAGCACGATTTCCAAATGTTTTCGATGCCGAATATCACCAAATTTTGGGAGACCGCAAGGTACCGATGCCGCTACTCCCCAGACCTCTCCCCGGGTGCGCTCTGACCAGCATCTCCAGCGGTGGCGGCGAGGGCCTCCCAGGAGGCCCCAAGTAGGGAAAACGAGGGCAGGGCAAGCGGCCGTGGTACCTCTCCCCCCCCCTGAAGCTCATCCTCGCACCTGCCCTCCCAGGAGCTGCATCCCGAGCTGCAGGTCGGCACCCCCCGCGCGGCCACCGCCGTGGGGGGCGCGCGGGCCCGGACGCACGCACCCTCGCTGGCGCCCGCCGGCGTCGGCGAGGCGGACGGCGGCTCGCGCACGACGAGGCCCGGCTGCAGGGGCGTGGCGCCGCTGGCGTCTGCGCGATCAGCGACCCCGAACCAGGAGGAGGAGGAGGAGGAGGAGGAGGGCGGAGGAGGAGGGCGGAGGAGGGCGGAGGAGGAGGAGGAGGAGGAGGAGGAGGAGGAGAAGGAGGAGGAGGAGGAGGAGGAGGAGGAGGAGCGGGCGCGGTGGGCGTGAAGGCGGACGGTCCCGACCCCGAACCAGCGACCCCGAACCCGAACGAGCACCACGAGCGGCGAAGGCGAAGCCAGGAAGAGGACAACCATCAGGCAAGGTTCGCTCGAGGATCTCCGAGAACCCGCGGCTCCGAGGGATGCACCGGGCGCAGAGCCTTCTGGAAGGCTCTGCAGGCGTTCGGGGACGCTCTGGAACGGATGTATCCTCGTCCTAGCCCCGGCGAACGCATCCGCATCCGTATCCGAACCCCACGTACCCTGGGGGCGGACAAGGGGAAACCCGAGGGCCAAGGGCCTCCCAGGATTCGTTATCGTGGGCTTGTCGCCGATCTGGCGGCGATTTATCGCCGATGCCAGGTCGATGTCTCCTCCAGCTGGTCCCCGAACAAGCACCACGAGCGGCGGACGTATCCGTATCGACGGCGGCGGCGGCGGCGGCGGCGGCGACGACGACGACGACGGCGCAGAGCGAGGCCTCGTCGCCCGCGGGAGCCGCCGCCGCGGCCTGGGACGCTGGCGGCGCCCTGGCCGCGGGCGCCGCCCCTGCTGGCGGCGGTGAGCCCGACGCGCCCGAGGACCCGCGGCCTCGCGGGCCGGGCCCCTGGGCCGCAACTCCGCGGATGCGCAACGTCTGTGTTGCGGATGCCCCGCGCGGAACGTACCCGTGCGACCGCGTATTCGCGGGATCGCTCCCCAGAATCCGTACCGCGAGGGCGCGGATACGGATACGTTCGCCGCTCGTGAAAGCGTGACTGCCCATGTTGGACATACGGTCGGGAACTTTTGGATAGCGTGTCGCTCCGCTGGTTCTGGCCCACCACGCATCGGCGCGACACGCGAGCGTCCACGCTCCGAGTTTTGCGAGGCCTCCCGGCCTGCGGAGCGGAGCGACACGATACCCACTCGCAATAAGCGTGCCGCAGGGGCCGCCGCGGCGACACACTATGCACAAGCTCCTGACTGTAAACTGACAAGCCTGTCGCTGAACCGCTAATTATGAACCATGCCTGCATAGCAGAGCGGGCGGAGGGCCGGGAAGGCGCATGCCACTCCTTGACAAAAACCTTGCCCCGATGTGTGGCCGCCGCGATCGCCGCGGCGAGCTCCAAGACCGACCCGGAGGCTGGTCCTGGGTCGGATATCGCGCAACGAGCTGGGGGCCATCGGCACCTGCGAGTCCACGGGCCTGTTCGCCGAACGGCGGCCCCCCCGCCTTCTCCTCGTGGCATGGAGCGAACGGGTCCAGAGGAAAGCGTGTCCCGCGGGCCCGGGGGCCTTCCCGTGACCAGGCCGCCACCCGGAGTACACGACGAAGCGCAGCCTCAGAGGCACTTCCTCACGCATCGGCCAGCGTGGAGGGCCCGCAAGGAGCCCGAGAGCGGCATACAAAAGCCTCAGAACACGTCCCCCTCAGGACTCCCTTGCTCCACAGAGGACGGAGCAATGACGAATGTAGAATCGGGTGCGGATAAATCGAGAATCTCTGGCATCCCGCGGCTCTGGAGGCTGCCTCAGGCGCCGCGGCACTCCCAGAGCGTTCCCAAACGCTCTGAGAGCGTTCCGGAACCCTCTGAGAACGGACTTCTCCTCGACCCGGCCCCGTCCGAACACATCCCCCTCGGGACCCGCGCGCCCCACGGCGATCCTCAAACTGCTCCGACCCCTGGCCTCCGGGCTCACCGGCGAAGCGCTGCGCCCGCCCCTCCCGCCCTCTGCCAGGCCGCTCTCCGCGCAGGGCTCCGGGGCCACCGCCCTCCCTTCCAGTGGGACACCAGCCTCGGTGCCAACGCCCTCGCCTCATGGGCCGATGTCCCACCACCACTACCACAGTACCATCGGTAGGACTGGGGAGGAAGGGAAGATGGGGATGTCCTCCTCATCCTCCTCCTCCTCCTCCTCCTCCTCCGCCTCCTCCTCCTCCTCCTCCGCCTCCTCCTCCTCCCTCATACCTATGGTAGTGGTGGTGGAGAATCGGGCCATCATCGCCAGCGCCTCCGCCCCGCTCGGAGGAGGCTTCCGGCAGGACACCGGCCCTTGGGCGTGAATTGATGGGAGGGCGATACTTTGGGGGGGGGGGGGGGAGAAAAGTGCACTTCTCGGGCCCTAAAGGCCCCCTTCTGGTCCCGGAAGGGCCCCTTTTTCGACACTCGCTGCCCCCTCATCTGTCGCCCCCCCATTGCGCGACGCCCGAGCCCCGTCGCCTCCGACCTGCTCGGAGGCCTCGGCTGGATCCTGCGGGTCGCCCAGCGGTGAGCCGGCCAGCCCGCCAGCTAGACCAACGTCCGCCCGGGCCGAGGCGGGGTCCTCCGCCTTCAGAGGCCTCCCAAATGGGGTCCGAGCAGGTGGGGTCGGAGGATCGCGCCGCAACGGCGATGCATCGGAGACACATCAATGATGCATCGACGTTGAATCGGCAACGTCGGCGAAACATCGGAGACGTCAGCATAAACAAAGTCGGGCTACACATCGAGCCGCATCGCAAATGCATCGGCGATGCGGCGTGATACCCCGGCCCCTTCACCTCGGACCCCGTCGGGGAGGCCCAGGACCTTCTCCCGCCCACCCCGCCGCACCCGGAGCCCATGGGTGGGGGAGCTCGAGCTGCTGCCAGTGCGGACCAGCCCGGATAGGCTGGTGGACACCTTGAGGGGCATCATCTCGTCGCTGGGCTGCGGGGCCAGAGCGCCACAGCTGCGCACCCTTGGGCGCATGCTGTGGGAGTTTCTACGGGGGGACGCGAGCTCTACGACCGCGGGCGACGCGAGCTCTACGACCGCAGGCGACGCGAGCTCTACGACCGCGGGCGACGCGAGCTCTACGACCGAGGGCGACGCGAGACCTGGCGCGGACAGTCCGCACATATTGCGGATGGCCTCCAGGGGTTCCGCGAGATTGGCGTGCCACTCGATGCTCGCGCACGGGTCTGACAAGTCTGCCACCGCGAAATCCTCCCTGAGCATGCTGGGCAAATTGATGCTACTCCTGAGAAAGAGTATTTCGATGTCAGTTCCACGGGCGAGGACCTTGTTCATAAAATCCATAACCCTCCACCTTGTGAACATCGTCGACGTCAACTGCGAGCGCTTCTTCTCGAAGGCCAACCTATGCCAAACACTGAAGGAATTCGCCAGCACATTTGGGGCCACTAGCGTGTGAGATGTTTGCTCTCTCCAATGCGAGATTATCCTCGTTGTCCAAATCCTCCCTCTGTCCTCCCTCCGTCCTCCTCATCCTCATGCCTCCTCCCGTCTTCCTCCTCCCTCTCCTCCTCCTCCTCCTCCTCCTCCTCCTCCTCCTCCTCCTCCGTCATCCTCCTCATCCTTCCTCCCTCCCTCTTTCTCCATCCCTTTCCCCCTCTCCCTCCTCCTACTCCTCCACCACCTCCTGCTCCTCCTTCTGCGCCTTGTCCTCCTCCTGGCCATGTCGTAATCGGGGCTTGGGTGCCGAATGCGGGATGGCCGCCAGGGCGGCCCAGAAGGCCTCCGCCACGACAGGAGGCCCCAACAGGCACAAAAAAACAGACGGAAGGACCAACCAAATGCCTCGAAAAAGGCCCCGCTTGATTTTTCGAAATCGCTGGCTCCGAAGAACATGTTTTTATTTCCCCCCGCAACGGTCAATACTGGGGGGAAGGGCCGGCCCCTCTGGCGGTGTAACGGCAATGTGGCGGGCGCGGGCATGGTACTGACTAGAAGTAGCGATGGCAGCACCAGTACCAGCGATAGTAAGAGTAGCGGTAAAAGCTACAACGACGACCACGATGACGACCGCCAGCGGCGACGACAACGAGAACGACGACGACGACGACCTGACAAAATGACATAGCGACAACCGGCCAAGACGGCCACGACGACGAGGAAGACGACTGGCAGCGACGCCAAAACCCGACCGGTGGCAACGACGACGACTGGCGACGACTCATAGTAGTAGTAGTAGTAGTAGTAGTAGTAGTAGTAGTAGTAGTAGTAGTAGTAGTAGTAGTAGTAGTAGCAGCAGCAGCAGCAGTAGAAGTAGTAGTAGTAGTAGTAGTAGTAGTAGTGGTAGTAGTGGTAGTAGTAGTGGTGGTAGTAGTAGTAGTAGTAGTAGTAGTAGAAGTAGTCGTAGTAGCAATGATCATAATACTAAGACAAATAATGATAGTATTGGTAACCATAATATGAATCGTCACCTTAGTAGTCGTAGTAGTAGTAGTAGCAGTAGTAGTAGTAGCAACAGCAGTAGCAGTAATAGTAGTCGTCGTCATAGTAGTAGTAGTAGTTGTTGTGGTAGTAGGAATAAGAGTGGTAGTAGTAGAAGTAGTAGTAGTAGTAGTAGTTGTAGTAGTAGTCGTAGTAGGAGTAATAGTAGTGCTAGTAGTAATCGTGGTAGTAGTGGTAGTAGAAGAAGAAGAAGTAGTAGTAGTAGTAGTAGAGGTAGAGGTAGTAGTAGTAGTAGCAGTAGTAGTCGTAGTAGTAGTAGTAGTAGTAGTAGTAGTAGTGGCAATGGTGGTGGTAGTGGTAGTGATGGTGGCACTGGTAGTTAGTAACTGGTAGTGGTAGTCGTAGTATTAGTACTAGTAGTGGTAGTAGTAGCAGTAGTAATAGTAATAGCAATGGTCCTAGTAGTAGCCGTAGTAGTAGTAGTAGCGGTAGTAAAAGTAGTAGTACTAGTAGTAGCAGGTAGAACAAGAGTCGTAGTATAAGCAATCGTTGTATTAGTGGTAATAATAGTAAGAGTAGTTGGAATAGTAGTTGCACAAGTAAGTGTAATACTACGAATCGTGGTGGTGATGGTCGTAGGAGTGGTAGCAATAACAACGACAACACTAAGACACCAGGACAGGACAACAAGCACGAACAACACTCGTACTGTTAACAGTCGCCCTGATAATAACACGACTGGTATTCGCAATGCAAATAAACATAGTATCACGACTGGAATTCTGCTCAAGATTAGTGCCAAACGTACTGGGCGTAGAAATCGTAATAGCTGTAAGGGTAGCAGTAGGAGTCGCGGCCGTCGTAGAAGTTGGAGGAGTTGTGTTTCTTAACAGTCGTACTAGCAACCAATGTAGCAGAAGTGGTAGAAATTGTAGTGATCGCAAGAGAAAGTAGTAGTAGTCGTAGTAGAGATAGACGTAGTAGTAATACTGCAAGGTGTAGTGGCAGCAGTAGCCGTACTAGTACGAATAATCGTAAAAACAACAATAAAAGTCGCACTTGTCGTACGCTTAGTGGTAATGCTAGTTTAAGCACTAGCACGAATAGCATTGGTCGCAGCAGTAGCGGTACTCGTGGTAGCAGTGGTAGTTTTGGGATAGTGATAGTAGTAGCCGTACAAAGTAGCAATAGCAATACCAACAGAAACAGTAGCAGTAGTAGTCGTAGTAGTAGTAGTAGTAGTAGTAGTAGTAGTAGTAGTAGTAGTAGTAGTAGTAGTAGTAGTAGTAGCCGTAGCCGTAGTCGTAGTAGTGGTAGTAGTAGTAGTAGTAGCCTAGCAGCAGCAGTAATACTAGAAGCAGTAGGGGTAGCAGTAGTAGTAGTAGTAGCAGCACTGGGGGTCGGAGTACACATGCTAGTAGTAACAATAGTCGTAGTCGTAATGGTACTTGTGGTAGTAGTAGCGGTAGTAATCGCAATCGCTGTAGTAACCGTAGGAGTAGCAACAGTAGTAGTAGTAGTGGCAATAGTCGTAGCAGGGGCAACGGTAGTAGAAGAAGACAAATCAGTAATAGTGGAAGTACTACTACTAGTAGTAGTAATAGTACGACTACGAATTGTAACACAAATCGTTATACTAATCGTAGTAGTAACACTAGTGCTAGCAATAGCCGTGTCAGGGGAAGGACACATAGTAGTAGTCGTAGGGAGGGTATGCATGCAGTAGTAGCGGTAGTAGTGATATTAGTAGTAGTGATGAAAGAAGAAGCAACATTAGTAATGTCATGAATACCCGCGGTAGCAGCAGTAGTAGCAGTGATAGAAGCCGTAGTAGGGTTGGTGGTAGCAGTATTAGTAGTAGTAATCGTGGTTTTAATGGAAGTGGTAGTAATAGCAGTGGTGATATTCTGACTGTTAGCAGAAGTCGTAGCTGCATTAGTCGTAGAAGCCGTAGTGGCATTGGCTGACACAATAGTAATAGTATTATCAGTACTAATAGTACCCGTAGCCATAACAGTAGTAGCCATCGTCGCCGTCGTAGTCGTTGCAATGCTATCGGTAGGCGTTGTAGTTAGAGGTAGTAGTAGTAGTAGTAGTAGTAGTAGTAGTAGTAATAGTAGTAGTAGTAGTAGTAGCAGTAGTAGTAGTAGCAGCAGCAGTAGTAGTAGTAGTAGTAGCACCAATAGGAATACATATCAGTAGCAGTACAAGTAATAGGAGTGGAAGTAAGAACAGCAGTAACAACAGAAGTACGAGTAGAAGTAATAGTCGTAGTAGTGGTAGCCGTAGCATAAGTCATATCGATAGTGGCAGTGTTGGTAATAGTGCGACTGCGAGTGGTAGCACACATCGTCGTAGTATCAGTAGTAGTAGTAGTAGCTGTAGTAGTAGCAGTAGAAGCAGTGATAGAAGCAGTAGTAATAGTAGTAGCAGTAAGATTACAATTCCTACTAGTGGTAGTAGTAGTAGTAGTAGTAGTAGGCGTAGTAGTAGTAGTAGTAGTAGTAGTCGTAGTAGTAGTAGTAGTGGTAGTAGTAGTAGTAGTCGTAGTAGTAGTAGTAGTACTAGTAGTAGAAGTAGTACTAGTAGTAGTAGTAGTAGTAGTAGTAGTAGTAGTAGTAGTAGTAGTAGTAGTAGTAGTAGTAGTAGTAGTAGTAGTAGTAGTAGTAGTAGTAGTAGTAGTAGTAGTAGTAGTAGTAGTAGTAGTAGTAGTAGTAGTAGTAGTAGTAGTAGTAGTAGTGTAGTAGTAGTAGTAGTAGTAGTAGTAGTAGTAGTAGTAGTAGTAGTAGTAGTAGTAGTAGTAGTAGTAGTAGTAGTAGTAGTAGTAGTAGTAGTGGTAGTAGTCGTACTAGTAGTAGTAGTAGTAATAATAGTAGTAGTAATAATAATAGTAGTAGTAGTAGTAGTAGTCGTAGTCGTAGTCGTAGTCGTAGTTCTAGCACCAGTCGTTAGCTTCACCATTCCCGTGTGTAAGAGACGTGGGCCAGAAGGTAGTAGTGGTGGTCGGAGTGGGAATCGTAGCCGTAACGAAACTCATACCAAGCATAAAAATGCGAATAAGAGTTGTACAAGTGGTAGATGCAGCAGAAAGAGCAACAGGAAGAGGAGCAGGTGGAGAGTTGCAGGAGGAGCTGCAAGAAGACCATCAGAAGGCGCCGCAAGAGGAGCAGCAGAAGAACCACTACAGCAGCAGCAGGCGCAGAAAGAGCAGGAGCAGGAGCAGGGAGGAGGAGCACAGGAGCAACAAGCAGGAGTAGCAGGAGACGCACGCGAAGAGCATCAGGAGGGGCAGCAGGAGGAGCAGCAGCAGGAGCAGGGGGAAGAGCGACAGGAGGAGCAGCCAGGGAACCCACAGGAGGAGCACCAGGAGCAGCAGGAAAAGGCACGAGGAGCAGCAGCAGCAGCAGGAGCAGCCAGAGGAGCAGGAGGAGAAGGAGCAGAAAGTGCAGCAAAATAACCAGAAGGATTGGAGGCTTGGAAACGGGCACAAACACCGAAACAATCTGGGTGCCTCCACTGGGCGGAGATGATCCTAGAATATGGTGTTGGATGCGTCGGCCACCTAGGGAGCCGGAGTATCGGCACCATCACCGAGATCGGGATCATCTTCCCTCGATGGAGGATCACCGCCGATACTGGTGTTGGTGTCAACCTCTAGACTCTAGGCCTCTGACAGGACGGGCAGCCAGAGGAACAGCAGGAGAAGAAACAAGAACTGCACGATGATTTGCAAGAGGAGCAGAAGGAACACCAGTCAGAAGAGCAGCAGGAGCAATAGCAGCAGAAGCAACAAGAGGAGCAGCAGGAGGAGCATCGGAGGAGGAGCAGGCAGTGGAGCAGCATCAACGGCAACAGTAACAACAAAAACAACACAACAATCCTGGCGTTCCTGGCATTCCCGTGAGACTGGATCCGCGACGCAACATGCTTGTGAACACCAACGCAGGCCTGCCAACACCACAACACGGTTTTGAA